GGTGGGGGATGGGTGGATGGATGGATGGGGGATAGGAAGGGAGGGGTAGTTGGGTGGATGGATGGGGCATTGAATGGGGGATGGGTGGCCAGGTTGGCATGAAAGGCTACTCCCAGCACTGGCATCTTCTCTCTCCCGCTCTGTAGCTCATGGGAACTGGGGCAGCTGGGGGACATGGGGTCCCTGTTCTGCCACGTGCTCTCCAGAGGGGGCAGGGCTGAAACCCCAGCAGCGACGCCGGCGTGTTTGCAATAGCCCCACACCCTCCAAAGTCCCCCCTGGACTCCCCTGCCCTGGATCAGACAGTGAGGACCAGGCCTGCCCGGGGCTGCCCTACTGCCCAGGTGAGAACGTCCCTCCTGTCTCCCTGGCCTGCGGCCACGTCCCATCCGCCCACCTTGGGGCTGGGTTTCCCATGCTGATCTCTGGCTCTGTCCTGCCCAGTGGACGGTAGCTGGAGTGCCTGGAAGCCGCTGGGTCCCTGCTCTGTGACCTGTGGCCTTGGCCGGATAATGGAGAAACGTTTTTGTAACAACCCAGCGCCACAGCACGGTGGAAAGAACTGCCCAGGGCTGGACACACAGTCACACTTCTGCAACACTAAAACACCCTGCCCAGGTAAGGGGGCAGGGCCAGGCAGCGTGCCCTGGATGGGGGTGGGGGAAGGGACACACACTGTCCCAGGACGGGAGGGCAGGTGCAGGGATGGGACAAGAGGTGCAGGAAAGAAGGTGCAGAGGCTGGATCAGGAAGAGGGTAACATGGTGGGATGCAGAGATGGAGGGAGGGATGAAAAGTGATGGTTGTGTGAATGGAGGGGTGTGCCTTGGGATGGACAGATGGAAGCGCAGATGGATGAACTAACCAATGGCTTGGTGTGTGGGAATGGATCAAAGCATGAGTGGATGGCTGAATGGATGGGTGGGGAGGGATGGTCAGGTGTGGGCAAGGGATGGCTGTGTAGTTGAATGGGAGAATGGGGGAGGAATGGTTGATCGGGGGAAGGATGGATGAATGGGTAAATTCATGGGTGGATTGATGGATCAGTAGTTGGTTAGGTCAATGGACAGATGACAGTGGATGGATGGATGATGGGTGGCTAGGTCAATGGATGGATGATTGGTTGATTGATTGGTTGGTTAGGTGGGTGGATGGGTGGTGACTCGATGGATGGATGGTTGGGTGGGTGGGTGGATGGATGATTGGTTGCTCAGGTGGGTGGATGGATGATTGGTTGGTAGATAGGTGTGTGGGTCGATGGCTGGGTGATTGGTTGGTTGGGTGGATGGGTCGATGGATGGATGATTGGTTGGTTGGTGGGGTGAATGGGTGGGTGGGTCAATGGATGGATGATTGGTTGGTTTGTTGTGTGGATGGATGGATGCGTGTGTTGATGGATGGATGATTGGTTGGGTGGGTGGATGGGTGGGTCGATGGATGGACGGTTGGTTGGTTGGTTGGGTGGATGCGTGTGTTGATGGATGGATGATTGGTTGGTTGGTTGGTTAGACGGGTGGGAGGGTTGATTGATGTGTGATTGGTAGGCAGATTTCTGGGCAGTTAGATTGAGGATGGCTAGGTAGGTAAACGAATGGACTTGTCAATGAGTGCTAAGCCAATAAGTGCATGAATGGGTGGGTAGGTGGGAGGTTGGGAGCTTAAATGGTTAGATGGTTGGGTGAGTCAGTAGATGGATGATGGGTGGGTACGTTGGTGTGTGGCTAGATGATTGGCTGGTTCAATGGGTGCATGGATGGATGGGTGGGTCTATGGGTGGGTGGATGGGTAAATGGCAGGATGGCTCAATGGATGTGTTGTTGGATGTATGGGTGGGTCAATGGGTGGATGGATGGGTCAAAGGGTAGATGGATGGGTGGGTCAATTAATGGGTGGGTCAATGGATCAGGGATTGGAGGGTTGGGCTGATGGATGAATAGCTCAATGGGTGGAGGGGTCAGTGGGTGATTGGAGGGTTGGATGGGGGGTTGGGTTGACAGACGAACGGGTCGGTGGGCAGGGGGTTGGGTTGACAGACGAACGGGTCGGTGGGCAGGGGGTTGGGTTGACAGACGAACGGGTCGGTGGGCAGGGGGTTGGGTTGACAGACGAACGGGTCGGTGGGCAGGGGGTTGGGTTGACAGACGAACGGGTCGGTGGGCAGGGGGTTGGGTTGACAGACGAACGGGTCGGTGGGCAGGGGGTTGGGTTGACAGACGAACGGGTCGGTGGGCAGGGGGTTGGGTTGACAGACGAACGGGTCGGTGGGCAGGGGGTTGGGTTGACAGACGAACGGGTCGGTGGGCAGGGGGTTGGGTTGACAGACGAACGGGTCGGTGGGCAGGGGGTTGGGTTGACAGACGAACGGGTCGGTGGGCAGGGGGTTGGGTTGACAGACGAACGGGTCGGTGGGCAGGGGGTTGGGTTGACAGACGAACGGGTCGGTGGGCAGGGGGTTGGGTTGACAGACGAACGGGTCGGTGGGCAGGGGGTTGGGTTGACAGACGAACGGGTCGGTGGGCAGGGGGTTGGGTTGACAGACGAACGGGTCGGTGGGCAGGGGGTTGGGTTGACAGACGAACGGGTCGGTGGGCAGGGGGTTGGGTTGACAGACGAACGGGTCGGTGGGCAGGGGGTTGGGTTGACAGACGAACGGGTCGGTGGGCAGGGGGTTGGGTTGACAGACGAACGGGTCGGTGGGCAGGGGGTTGGGTTGACAGACGAACGGGTCGGTGGGCAGGGGGTTGGGTTGACAGACGAACGGGTCGGTGGGCAGGGGGTTGGGTTGACAGACGAACGGGTCGGTGGGCAGGGGGTTGGGTTGACAGACGAACGGGTCGGTGGGCAGGGGGTTGGGTTGACAGACGAACGGGTCGGTGGGCAGGGGGTTGGGTTGACAGACGAACGGGTCGGTGGGCAGGGGGTTGGGTTGACAGACGAACGGGTCGGTGGGCAGGGGGTTGGGTTGACAGACGAACGGGTCGGTGGGCAGGGGGTTGGGTTGACAGACGAACGGGTCGGTGGGCAGGGGGTTGGGTTGACAGACGAACGGGTCGGTGGGCAGGGGGTTGGGTTGACAGACGAACGGGTCGGTGGGCAGGGGGTTGGGTTGACAGACGAACGGGTCGGTGGGCAGGGGGTTGGGTTGACAGACGAACGGGTCGGTGGGCAGGGGGTTGGGTTGACAGACGAACGGGTCGGTGGGCAGGGGGTTGGGTTGACAGACGAACGGGTCGGTGGGCAGGGGGTTGGGTTGACAGACGAACGGGTCGGTGGGCAGGGGGTTGGGTTGACAGACGAACGGGTCGGTGGGCAGGGGGTTGGGTTGACAGACGAACGGGTCGGTGGGCAGGGGAGGGGCCTCTGGGTGTGACCTGAGGGGTTCCAGGCTGGAGGGGCCTCTGGGTGTGACCTGGGGGGTTCGGGGCTGGAGGGGCCTCTGGGTGTGACCTGGGGGGTTCGGGGCTGGAGGGGCCTCTGGGTGTGACCTGGGGGGTTCGGGGCTGGAGGGGCCTCTGGGTGTGACCTGGGGGGTTCGGGGCTGGAGGGGCCTCTGGGTGTGACCTGGGGGGTTCGGGGCTGGAGGGGCCTCTGGGTGTGACCTGGGGGGTTCGGGGCTGGAGGGGCCTCTGGGTGTGACCTGGGGGGTTCGGGGCTGGAGGGGCCTCTGGGTGTGACCTGGGGGGTTCGGGGCTGGAGGGGCCTCTGGGTGTGACCTGGGGGGTTCGGGGCTGGAGGGGCCTCTGGGTGTGACCTGGGGGGTTCGGGGCTGGAGGGGCCTCTGGGTGTGACCTGGGGGGTTCGGGGCTGGAGGGGCCTCTGGGTGTGACCTGGGGGGTTCGGGGCTGGAGGGGCCTCTGGGTGTGACCTGGGGGGTTCGGGGCTGGAGGGGCCTCTGGGTGTGACCTGGGGGGTTCGGGGCTGGAGGGGCCTCTGGGTGTGACCTGGGGGGTTCGGGGCTGGAGGGGCCTCTGGGTGTGACCTGGGGGGTTCGGGGCTGGAGGGGCCTCTGGGTGTGACCTGGGGGGTTCGGGGCTGGAGGGGCCTCTGGGTGTGACCTGGGGGGTTCGGGGCTGGAGGGGCCTCTGGGTGTGACCTGGGGGGTTCGGGGCTGGAGGGGCCTCTGGGTGTGACCTGGGGGGTTCCGGGCTGGAAGGGCCCCTGGATATAACCTGGGGGGTTCTGGGCTGGATGGATTCATGGGTCTGATCGTGGGGGGAAGGGCAGGACACCGTGCTCCCGCCCTCACTGGGGTCTGTGCTGGCTCCCCAGTGGAGGGTCATTGGTCAGACTGGAGTCCCTGGGGGCTCTGCCTCCCGGATTGCGGGGAGAACCCTGTGAAGATTCGGAAGCGCGTTTGTGAACCCACGTACCCCAAATTCTCGTGAGTGTGTCCAGCTGGGGGAAGGAGGAAATACTAGGCTGCCTCCCGGATTGCGGGGAGAACCCTGTGAAGATTCGGAAGCGCGTTTGTGAACCCACGTACCCCAAATTCTCGTGAGTGTGTCCAGCTGGGGGAAGGAGGAAATACTAGGGCCCGTGGCGCTGACCCGGGAGTGGGGATACGAGGAGGGGGAGGGGGTCTGACCCGGGAGCAGGGATACCTGGCGGGGGGGGGCTGA